CTGGGGCCGGGCGGGAGGGGGCGAAAGTCGCAGGAGGGCGCGTTCGGCGGCAAGCTGACTGAGGCGTCTGAGCCGGCGGCAGCAGCTGGCCGCGGGGTCAGAACGTGTTTGGTAGCCTCAGTCTGCTTCTGGGCGGCCGAGAACTGTTGGGCAGAGTCCTCGGCCGCGCCGCCGAAGGGCCAGCCTGGGATATGGGGGAGTTGAGGAAGCGGGTTCGCTCAGCCTCGCGCATATCAACCAGGTTAACCCAGAAATGTCTGACCACACAAGTGGACATCACCTGACCCAGGGAGCGTGCGGTCACCTTCGTCACTCGTAGAGCGAGGTCGGTGGCGGCAGGCAGTCTCTTAGATGAGCCCTGAATCAGCCCTACCCTCGTGCATGTCATTGAGCACCCCGAAGGATGGCAATAACATGCAGTGAGACGGCAGCCTGTCCGCTGCTCTATAGGTCTTTGCCACCGGAGTAGACAAAAAACCTACAGGCATTGGAGGGGTGCTTAGGGTCGCCACACCAGGTGGAGGCGCTGTGGGGGCACAGACGTGCTGCCACAGAACACTCCACGGGGGGAACCCCAGTGTACCCATGGCCGCGGCCTCTCGAGGGCAGAGAAGGTGGAAGAGGCTGCTGAGCAGTCGCGAAGTCAAAGGAGACTCTCCCGATCTCATAACCTCTTCATGCACATCCGAGTAGAAAGGATTTTGGGTTCGCCTCCCCAAAACCAATCATCAGCCTTGAGTGCTCGAGACATGGCAGAGTAACCCACACATGCCCGATACTCGCGGCTGCCCGGGAAGCATAGCTGTCAACTCTGGATCAGACTCGCTATGTTGCACACCCGAGAGTGGCAACATAGACGAGCCCTCACTTCCAAAGGACTCCAGCTCACCTTGTGACGCGGCGATAGACATGATTTCATCAGCCGGGGAACTGAATGAGATGCCGGCCCGCCGGCGTCCTTAGGACGCGGCTCTGACCAGCTAACTCATTCAGAACCGCGCGGTTTGCAATGTTAAAGAGAGGGGTGTGGACCACGGATATTAATCGGCGGTTTAGTTCCACACCAGCCATCTCAGGTCACCCTGGCCACCAGCCAAAGTATTCTCTCACGTGGAGAAAATAGATCGGGGTGTGGATGAGGGGACTCTCACTCAGTTGAGCTCATTGAGTCTTGACCGTTACATTGCGATGGTCATGTTCCTTTAAGAGAACGTGACGCATCTGCGAGCGCTGTTCGAACGTGATCGAAGCCCAAACACGTCAAAACAGCGCTCGTGCCCATCAGCTGAATCTATCAGACTACCGCACTCAGAAATGCACGGGCAGATCGTCTTTAAAAAGACGCGCCGCGTGCACGCTCTTTTTGTGTGAGAAAAGCTTGCAGCAGTGCTGAAGCGCCCAGGGAGAAGCACACAGCTGTTCAGATCAGCAGGCAGGAATGTGAAACTCGCTGGAACACGCCATCACACCAACACCGACTGGAAGCTGCTCGTCTTGAAGATTCTCGAAGATAGTCAGAGAATAGACTGCAGGAGTGAAGAGAACATCTTGGCTCCGAAGCAAAAACATATCTGCATATTGCCGGCTTTCTCCTTTTATCCCCACGAGGTGGGGCGGAGTTGCGCCATGCAAATTCCGCAGACCCATGGCATTTGTTTGCCATTGGCTCGTTTTGTATACTCGAAGTCGATAGGCTTTCTAAGCGAAACCCCATTCGTCGTCATCCGACGGAACTCGGAGTGACAACGAAAGGGAACTACACACAAAACAGTGCAGATAGGATATATGCCTTTACTGTTCGTTGTTTGTTTATTTATTTATCCCGAATTATTTATCTATTTATTTAGGCTATAGCCTCAGTTCATGCAGCATGTGAACTGATCGATCATCTCTTTATGCATTCTAGCACATGAATAGCATATATGTTGTCTTGTGATGTTAAAAACCATGGGAGAATTAAAAGAGAACCCCTGGGTCTAAAAAGTTAATTATCTGCTAAATTCTAGGCTAAATATTAATAATAAACTGCGCTCACCATTCTTTTTTGAGGCATAACTTCGTTTAACTGATCGTCTGTCAATCAAACTTCGGCGGAACTCTAAAACTAAATATTACAAAGCTAAAATTAAACATTACAAATATTATTTGTGTTGGTCAAGAGACTTCTGGTGAACAGTATGCCTACATGCTATAACTAGGCTACTTGTTCTTTATAAGTATCTGTGGAAATCTTGACAAGAAACAATGTCAAACAAAAACATTTCAAAAAGATAATTTGTGTAAATTAACATTTACTATTTGGGGGGAGGGAGCTATACATGTATACTCAAGGTAAAACATAATTGATAAAAAAAAATCGAGAATCAGTGGGGGGAAAATAAAGAATGAATAAGGTATTATTCATTCCTTATCAGCTTTTAGAGGTGATACCAGTTATCCATGGGTTGTGTGATAATTAAAAGATTGAGAGAAGACAAAATGTCTCTTTTCTTTTATTGTTGTACAGTGAGAAAAATAAAAACATTAAATACAAAAGTGCTTAAAGTTCTTCTGGGAGGATCTCCTAGTCTTAAGCATATCTACATGCTACATTTAACAAAGAGGCATATCTTTCATAATTTTATTCAAAATCAAAATCAAAATCAAGTAAGAAAACATAAGCATCCTTTATTCAGAGAATTCCTTCTTCAAAACTACAACATTCCTTGGAAACTTTAACATGAACTACTTATTGGCACACAGTTGTATTCAGTAACTCTACTTACTGGGAAAATAACCACAACAAAAATCATGGCATAATTCACTTTTGAATTACAAGTTGTTGTTGTTTTTTTATTACTTACACACTAAAAGTGTTACTTGAGGCCCACTCAGTAAAACCATTCACACATAGACCAAGTCTTTAGACCAAGTCTGCAAAACTACAAGCACATTATGTGCTTTAAACTCAGGTTGCTAACAAACATTTGACAAAACTCTGAACACAGTTCTCTACATTAGACACATCATTCAAAACTAACAGCTCTTTTGTTTCATTTAGGATCATCTCCCAATTACCTACACCCAATGATCATTTGTGAAAACACTTACTACATAAATTGTTCACTTAGAAATCAAAACTTAGTGTTGAGAAAGAAAGAAATAATTGTACCCCCTTGCATTTCTGTTTATAGTGTATATATATATATATATATATTTATATGTGTATGTGAAGGTCTGTGTATATACACTTATCACACACACACATACAATATGCTTTAAACAATATAGATTGTTACACAGCAGGTTCACAAGAGTAAAAAAATCATATTCTGCTGTAAAGCAGCTCTAACAAGCCAATAGTGTCATTATTCAGCTCAAAGTTGGTTCAGTATTGATTCAGTTTAGTTCCATAACAGTATAAAATTCATCAGTTGTGCATACGTATTTACAGAGTATTTGTGCACATGTGAATGTGAGTGCTTTGACAAACTTCACTGCACATTTTAAACAAGCAAAAGACAAGATAGTCGTGTTTTACATTTTTCGCATCCGTGTTTGGCGTGTATGTGGCTAATCATTTTAGTTACTACGCAAAAATACCATTTTAAGAATAGTTAAAGTAGTTTTGAATGAAGTGTTTGCTTTTGCAAGATATGTGTGATGTTTTCCATGTTGTGTGTGTGTTTTGTTGTTTTTTGTGTGTAGAGGTTTGAGAAATGGAGCCATAGTTTCAAGAACTGTGTGTAAGCATTAAAAAAAACTGTATGATTATTAGAATATGATTCTTTTTGTTTGACAGCAATTATTTTTTGAGATAAGATTAAGACAGAGATCCTTTCTCAGACAGTGATACAATGGCAGAAGTACAAACATAATTACAAAAACTGTATGCGAATTAAAGTAAAAAAAGTGTTCAAAGTTGTTCAAATTATTGTTAATTTATATAAGAATCATTTAGGACTCCCTTCCTAAAAAGGATATATTTTCAGGTGTTTTCAGATTGTTAGAATTAATGCTGTTAATGTTTGATGTATAATGTATCAATATAATGTATATATAAATTTCAAATCCATTTGTCTAGAAAGATACAAAAAACTTTTTACAGGACTATAGATTTGGATATTATTTCCTATTGCTGAAAAGGACAGCATGCGTTTTTTATTTGTTTATTTGAAATAATCATGAGTAGTGATTTTTTTTTTTTTTTTTCTGACCAGGCAAATTGATATATTTAATCAATTTCAAATTAACTTTGACAGCCATTTTGACAACATTGTGTAAAATCTTTCCTCGCATTTTCAACACACCTCCTTATACCCTCCTCTGCCCCATAGACCCCAGTTGGAAAACTCCATGTTTACAAGTGATTGATTTAACAGTTATAGTGCCCCCTACATGCTCCCTAAATACACATTCCTTTGTAAATGTAAAGAGAAGCGATAACACTTTACAATAAGTTCTCATTAGTTCATGTGTTAACTAACTTGAATTAACAGTGAGCAATGTATTTCTTACATTGATTAATCTTTGTTAATGTTAGCAAATAAAAATTGATTGAGATTAATAAATGCTGTAGAAGAATAGTTTACTGTTCTAGTTAATAGTTAAACTAATAGTTAGTTTGTGTTAACTAATGTAGTGAACTAATGTTAACAAATTAAACCTTATTGTAAAGTGCTACCAGAGACATTAAGCTGATTTTTAAGTCTGTGTACATTACAGTGATTACAACAATCTTACAGTAATATTACAGTCATGTGAAGCAGTTGCCATTTTCTTTATACCTTCACTTTTGTTTTAGTGAAATGGTGGCTGTGCTGACCTCAGTATGAAAATCAGGGCTTAGTTTCAATTTCATCTGCTGATACTGGAAGGTTCAAAGATTAGCTCTAAAAAAATACAAAAAAGACAAATAGAGAAGTCAAAATTTCAATTATATAACTTATGAGCTAAAACAAATAAACAACGTGTTACCTATTAACTAATATTAAATTGTAACAATCATAACATTGCTTTGATCTGTGCCTAAAAGCCTAAATGAACTGTGGGCCTACCGTGTAGCCTGATTCCGGATCATCTTCAGCAGTATTTCCTGAGTCATAATCTATTTAAAAAAACAAACCACAAAAAAAAAAAAAACATGTTATATTGTTAATTGATAAGAACATTAGTGTAGTCTCTATAACTATCCTTTCTTGCAAAAAATAGAGCCCTTCACGTGTCATTCACAAGGCCAGAAAATTGGGTCAGAATAAACTATTTGGATTATCCACTTTGGTGAACATTCACGATAGCGGCCGGGTGTGTGTGTGTGTGTGTGTGTGTGTGTGTGTGTGTGAGTGAGTGAGTGAGTGAGTGAGTGAGTGAGTGAGTGAGTGAGTGAGTGAGTGAGTGAGTGAGTGAGTGAGTGAGTGAGTGAGTGAGTGAGTGAGTGAGTGAGTGAGTGAGTGAGTGAGTGAGTGAGTGAGTGAGTGAGTGAGAGAGAGAGAGAGAGAGAGAGAGAGAGAGAGAGAGAGTGAGAGAGAGAGAGAGAGAGAGAGAGAGAGAGAGAGAGAGAGAGAGAGAGAGAGAGAGAGAGAGAGAGAGAGAGAGAGAGAGAGAGAGAGAGAGAGAGAGAGAGAGAGAGAGAGAGAGAGAGAGAGAGAGAGAGCGCCACATATCCGCACAGATTGTAACTCAGATTAACCATGAACAAATAAAAGTGGAAAAGCGAAAGCAGAAATGATCCACAGGGAGAATCTACTTCAAACTGCAACTGATTGTTAAAACAGAAACAAAAAATGTTTCAGAGAGAGGATGTTTAACCCAACACCATTGTAAATATAAAAACACATGCATTTGTGTAACATACTTAGAATAGGTTGGCCAGAAGGTCGTCTACCATCTGTGAATCAATCCAGTACAAAATGATATATCACTATGAGTACTCAAAATATTGAGCTTCAAAGTTTTTGCATTCCAAGCGACTTTGTTTTCAAAATAAAAGGTCCCAAAATGTACACAACATAAAAAAAATCACATAGCCTAATATAAATAAATGGTCACAGAATAAGATTGTGAATTACTCAATTTTGACAAAAAATGTCAGATAGAACCTTATAATTCTAAGTTGACGAACTATAGAGAAGTGAAAACACCACTTCACAAAACCCATGGTTGACAGCAGCTTAACATAAACAGAAGTCATAATCAAATCATGATAAGGAAGTACTGTACGTCTGTGCTATCTAAGGTCTTTCAGTAACACTATAATTCCCCCTAAGAACTGCTGAGGCCTCTCGTTTCTAAACTTAAGCATTGCCACATTTCCCCTTTTGGCTGCAAAAAAAAAAAGTAAAAAGTCTTGTTTCACAGAGATCCTTCCTCAGACATAACAATCACTGAAATGTGTATATAATAGAAAATACAAGTAAACAACAGTTCAGTTTTCTTTAGAACAAATGTTAAAAGTATACTCACGTGGAACGTTTTTTTTTCGGAATATCAACAGAGCACACAGAAGACCAACAATGAGTGATCCGATGACCATCACACCAGCGACAATGTGTGTTGTATTAGATGTTATAGAAGATTCCTTGTTACCATCTGAAGATACAATACATTCAATTGACAACAGCACATATTCTCCTTGACAATGTTGTAAAAAATTATATACTGTACTACACAATGGTCTTCATGACAGATTTAGAAATGTTCTGACTCAAAGTAACCTGAGATATCTGATATGTGGCAATAATATCAATGCTTTATTGTACTACTCTAAATTACATTGCTAAGGAAAAAATATACTAATAAAATGCCATAATATGGCCAGCTCCCTACAATTTGCTTTGTCTCAAAACATGCCCAGTGTCTTCAGAATCGTCAGAATTCATGATATGATTATGTAAACACTCCTGAAACAGTGCTACTGTTAACCCTGAGTTGACATGTCTAGAGATAAAAGAAAATCTATTCAGCAGATCATATTTTTACACAAACTTCGAACTATGTTAAATAAGCACTCAGATAAGAGATGGTAAGAAATGAAGGTTAATTACTTATAGCAGATGTAGCAGATGGGAGGGGTAATGTGCTTTCTCCATCTTGCACATATTTGCTGTTCAAGACAATGCATCTAAATGGCCCCAGTTCCAAGTTAATCGACTTGAAAGGCAGTTTGCTAGATAAGGCCACAGATTTTAAACCGTTGGTGTCCTTGGTGGCTTTTGTCAGTTCTGAATTGATGGTCCAATTCGTTCCAGCACGGTCAAACCAATGGATGAAGCCTGCTGGGTAGCCATCAGTAGCATTGCAGTAAAGGTCGACGGGCCCTCCGTCTGTTACATCTTTAGGCCATGTGCTTGAGGTTAGATTTTTGTAATTGGCTTTATTAAGGGGAAGAAACATTCGATAAGTGTCAAGAAAGCAGAAAGTATTATAATAACCACTTTTAAAACAAAAAGGCTAAGAATTTCAGTTTTATTTTATTTTATTTAAAGTGACTGAAGAAATTCAATCTCACCTGTAATAGTGATTCTAAGTTGCACCGTTTTTTTACCTCTGTTTGTTACAACACTGTAAAGATATTCACCCTCATCAGAAAACTTAGTGTCAGAGATTTGCAGCGATGGACCCAATGCTGGGTTTTTAAGACTAAAGCGTGGATCTCCTGAATTTGTAAAAACGATATTTGAAAAATGGCTCCTTCTCTGTGGTTCTTGTTAAAGAAACTGCTTGTATTTTAATGTCTTGGATGTCTTTGAAATTGCAGTTGATAACTGTTTTCTGATAAACAATTCCAACTGTAGGTAGGCATTCCAATGTCCACAAATCTGTTGAACATAGAAGTACAAACATAAAATTGCATTATGGTATTTTAGTGAAAGCATAACTAGATATTTATAATCAAAGGAATGTTCAGAGCTTGATACAAGTATCTATTGACCGAATCTGTGGCATGCTAACCACAGAAAATAATTTACAATGTAAAAAATAATTAACTTGAGCCCAGAACATTCTTTGAAATTGCTTTAAGCACAACAAACAATCTTAGTCTCTACTGGATACAAACATTATTGTGACAATAATGCTACTGTGCATATCCAATAAATCTCTGAATATTAATGCATTGTACCTTGACTGGGCCTCACAGCAGGGATGAAGAGAGAAATCATTACAAGTACCATAACCATCAACGAAGACATGTTTACTCTGAAAGGAAAAGTTGAGAGAGAGAGAGAGAGAGAGAGAGAGAGAGAGAGAGAGAGAGAGAGAGAGAGAGAGAGAGAGAGAGAGAGAGAGAGAGAGAGAGAGAGAGAGAGAGAGAGAGAGAGAGAGAGAGAGAGAGAGAGAATGAAATTATTGTACTTTGTTGCTGTGTACGTGTTGGGAACCTTATCTCTACTATTGTAAAAGTTTAAGCTGGGATTCAGAAAGCAGCATTCCATGTAAGACTAAGTAGCATTCCATGTTAGTTCCTTCAAATAAATAAAGCTTAAACACAATATGGTCCTTAATCAGAAAATGGTGTGCAGGCCAACATACATACATTGTTAATGGTGCAAAAACATTGATAGGCATACGTAATTAATTACAATAGAGAGATGAAATTAAATTATAATTAAAATTTTCATTTTAAAATGATAATAAAATGAAATAGGGGAGATCAGGGCACAACCTAATACTTTTTGACCTAAGTTTGTTTAAATTCACTTGGGTTTCAGAGTTTTTTTTTTAACCGCATTAATTTCACACAAGTCAATTATGTGGTTTGGTTTCATTAATACAGTGTATACTTTTTTCTCGATTTCCCCCGAAAGAATCGAAGTGAAATGTGACAACATGCCCCATAGGTGGGGTACATTGTAACACGGGCACATTATAACATGACCGTATGACAGCTTAAAATGTTATCTGATCTAATAATATATATATATATACAAGACACAATATTTTGTCAATAAAATACTATTATTAACTGTTTCATATAAAACAATGGCATTTTTTAATAATTAAAAATAAAGTAATTAAAGAATTTGACAACAAACACACCACAAAACACAGCTTTACAGCATAATTCAAAACATAATAATAATAATAATAATAATAAAATTTCTGAACATTGACTCAGTCTTTATTTTCCTTTTTCTCATGGTTTCTCAATAGAATTTATACAAATATAGAATAGAATAGGTTAGTTCTAATAGGGGATTCTAAAACTCACACAAAAAACAGAGAACTTTAGTAAGAAATTTACTTTTTCTATGGTTAAATAAATGTTCAGTGATAACTTCCAAAAAAAAATAATTTTGGCGCAATTTCTTCTCTTGCCTATAGTGTTGATATGGTAGTGTATAGTAAATACACTAAGTTTCATCATGCTGGCATGTGTGGAAAGTTTTTATTCATGTGTGTTACAACTAACCCTGCGTTAGGAATTGTGCCCTGCTCACCCCTAATATAATAATAATAATAATAATAATAATAAGAGTGCTAAATTATTAAGTAGCCTATGTGTAAATGTTTATTTATTAATTTACATCCATAACCACATTCAAATTAAGACAGCACGTCTTCAACAGAATTTTTCCATCTCCATAAACTAACATTCTCCTCTTTCGCGGCTTCTTTCTAGCCCACTCTTAGCCCTGTTCTTCGCATTGTCTTAGGCTAGACTACACACATTATTAAACCAAAAGTTGCAACCTGCCTTTACTTTACCAATCTGTTGTTCATTTGTGCTACTAGGTCCATAACGTAATGACTTTAGCTTATACCACTTAATGAAAAGTGATATCTGTAAAAAATATTACTAGTCTGTTTCTAAAGCCCAAATTACCAATGTGTGCTAGTTTAGTTGTGTTGACGCATGCGCAGTATTTAAATATTTCCGTGTATGAAATAGGCTTTTAAAAGAAACTATACCAAATAGCCTAGATGTTAAGAGCCACTAGGCTACTCATGATTAATAAACATAAGAGAGGCATCCACATTAATGTGCCCTACTGCTTCTGTCTTTTTAGCCTGTCAGTTTTTAAACGATTTGACTTCATTGCTGTTAATGTTTACAATAGGCCTACTCAACCGTATTATGGTTGTTCAACTTTACGGATATTAAAAAATGACACCATCGAATATAGGCAAAAGATTAAAACAAAACTTACAGTGTAAACGCTCTTCAAATGGACAAGGAAACGAGAATACAACCGCACGACTGCAGGACTGTCTTTGTAATGGAGCTCTTGCATGCTTTCACTTTCAGTATGAATGTAGACACGCAGGCCTACGCCTACGTAATAGCCAAACAACGAATAGTTTTACAAACCCTTTACTTCTTTTGCAAGCAACTGTTAGTGAAAATTATTTTCAATAAAAAAAACATTCTTAAATCCCATATGGTTCCAACATATATTAGACTATGTAAATAAATCAATATAAGGCTATAGATAAAACAATATAAGAAGTAAAATTAAGAAGAATGAGTTATATGTTGTGACTTCTGAAATCCTGACAGTGACATTTTAAATCAATGTTTATTGTTTGAAGTTCTAAAAAAGTCGAGTTTCTTTCTTCTTCTTTTTCTTCTTCTTTTTTTTTAATAAATTCCAACTCAGCAACAGTTTTTCTGTCCCTTTTTATTAAATTTTTTAGGTCTAAAGTGGTATTCAATTCAACATTTTATTGTTTTATTTGTTTAGTTTTCTGACGAAATGTGAAATTTCTTAAGTGCATGTTTGGAATCAGCTGTTTGTGACTTTATGTAATGTCTTTTCACATGTTAGCTGCAGATTCAGGGCTAAGGACTGGGCTAAAATGAAAGAAATGCAAATAAATAAAACAAAACATAGAGAGCTTCCACATAACTGAACATATGGACTATACGAAATAACTATGAACTATTATCTGTCAACAATTATGTGGGAGTGACCATTTTTTATCATTTGGTCTAGAAATTTGACCTGATTCCAAACTGTGTCTGATTCCCCATTGATTTCAGCAGCATTTGCTGAGCAGTAACCTGCTTTTGCATATAAGATGTACTTAAAGTTTAAACATATAAAGTTTATTTTCATCTTACAGTGCATATACTGTTGCATCTCTATAACATGTACTTAATGTTTTCCACTTAATATGTTGGACAAGTTTCAATCAGAAAGATTGTGACATAGAGAAAACATCTGTCCGGAATCTCCAAAATCTACCCACAATTATTACACAACTAAAATACCCATTTAAACTACCCATTTAACTATTTCAAGCAGCATCTATCCCAAGTCTTTTAAAATTTACTATTACAGCAAGCTGCGTGTAAAAAGTTATATTTTTTACTCCTGTGACTGGATTATGATATTACAAGTGACTGGATTATGATATTAACCATGGTATTGGTAAAAAAAATTACCAAACAGCCAAAAAAATATATATTATTTTTTCCTTTTTGACAATTTTATGTTAATAATTAATATTTACACAATTTGATAATTTTTTTCCCATTTAAAAAATAATACACTTTTCAATTATTTTTCAATAAAAGCTGTAAAAGGCCTTTAAAATCCAATTTTTGTTGGCAGATTAGTGTCATCTGGGGGGAGTAAAAAAAGAAAAACATCTGTAATGTCATGGTGTAACCAATAGATTTCAGCTCTACATGAGGCTTGTTTTTAGACATAAAACATACTTTTATTAGGTTGTGGATTTGGATATATATTTTGACAATAGGCATTCTTAAAGACTATTTTGTCAAGTTTTAGATATTTTTGTTTGAGATTTTGATTTGAAGTGTCAGTTCACAGTAATTTTACTACAGTCATTTCTGAACACAGAGAAAGACATTTTGTTACATCAAACCTTAATAAAAATATAACAAATTGAATATGAATTCTTTATCAGAGCTTAAACAATCTGGGTCTGATCTAATTTCAACCTCTTATTCTAGTTTTCTACCTCAATTTTGCCGTGTGTGTGTGTGTGTGTGTCCGTCCAAGTGTACTGTTGTTGTTTCTGTGTACGGGTCCTGGACGCTTCTTCTGTCACCAAAACAGATTCCTTGTGTGTGCGAACATACTTAGTGATAAAGCTCTTTCTGATTCTAATTCTGTTTTGTACTTTTGAAGTTTTACAGTATAACCCCTTCCTTGCTGTTTGTTTTTTTACTGCAATGTGGCTAAACTATTGATTTCATTTCATGCATTTGCAAAAACTTGCTTTGTGTTCGAGCCACTTCAGTTCACATATGTTTGGAGTGTCACTCGTTCACTGCTGTGTGTTTTTTTCTGCATCATGGCTGATTTGTAGATTGTAATGTACCCCCGAAAAAAATTCACATTCATTTCATATGGGGGTCATTTCTGGTGTGACCCAGGAGCAAGGGCATAAAAGAGATGGCTGTAGCTCTAGAGGGAGCTCTGCTGAAATGTTGACTTATTTTTCCCCCATAACCATGCTGCTAGAGTAAATTTATTTTTGTAAATATTCTTGCTGTTTCTTTTGTTGTTCACTTTAGTTATGAAGTAAAGGTAGGTATCATGTTTTGTTGAACATTTTTTTGTATATGTAATTTAGATCTGTTCGGGATGTGTTGGTTTGTTGTCTTGGCTATGTGCACATCAACTTTCCCCCACGTTACTGCACCCCTGCATAGAAATAGAATAATTATTAAAACTTTAGATTCATAGTTATCATTATAGTTATCTATTACTCCTGGCTTAACTACTGCTGATTCTCTTACGAGAGGTTCTCTCGTATTGCGTAAGCTAGCTTACACTACGGGAAAGATTCATCTTTTCTGAGAAATTGAAGCCAAAAAATTATCCTATAATTTTGTATCCATTGTCAACGCAGTTCAGCTGCAGCAGACCAAGAGCGGGCTAGCTAGCAGCTCATTGGTTCGCTCACAGAGAACTGCTTAAGCCTATGAGGAGACGCTAATGAACTCTCGGCCAATGAGAGTCTGACATGCTCTCATTGCGTCAGAGCCCGCCGAAACGGGCGTGGTCAGAGAGAATAAATTTGCCTCTCAGGCTGTAAACTCTGATTTTCATCTCTTCAGCGAGGCTACACGCATCTGCTGATCCTGAGAGAAGCCGCCGTCGTCGAAAAGGCAACTCTAGCGAGCATCTGGGAGACTGAGGAAGCCGGCCATCTTCGCCACCTTCAGCCATCCTGCGAGCTAGCGCCATCCGACGGATTTGTATCCTTTTTACGAAAAAGCTTCCTGTATTGTGTGTATTGTATCTAAAAGAGCCGAGCGTCTTTGTAAAGATGTCTCGTAAATCCTCCTGCGGTTCTTGCCGCGCTCCCCTCGAGACTGGAGACCGCCACGTCATCTGCGCTCTCTGCCTCGGATTGGAGCACGCCGAGCTCGCCCTCGCCGATGGCGGCTGCGATCTCTGCGAGGAGATGCCGTTGTCGACCCTGCGGGCTCGACTTCAGGCCACTAAAGTTGCTTCCGCGCCGCCTCTGACTTCGCCGCGGAAGAAGAAACGCCGCTCTCAGAGGCCGCCGGAGCCTGTTGCCTCCCGCTCTCCTTCTCCGCCGCTTCCGGACGTACAGTTGCCGCCGAGTGGCCGCTCTGTCGCCTCCGATGACGCCGCGGACATCAAGGAAACCTGTTCGCTTCTCGCTTCAGACAGTGAGGAATGGTCCGGTTCTCACGCCTCCTCGGCCCGAGAATCCTCTGGGACCCGCGCTGGAATCGAGGAGGAATTAGTGCGCCTTCTCTCACAGGCCGTCGAACGCCTCGGGCTCGATTGGTCCCCCCCCCCCCCCCCCGAGCAGACCATCAACCCCATGGACGGCAGCTACTTCCGCCAGCGCTCGTCTCCCGTCACTAAACGGGCCGCGCCCTTCCTGCCGGAACTGCACGCGGAACTCACGAAGTCCTGGAATGCCCCGCTCTCTGCCAGAACTCGCTCTGACTCTTCCGCCCCGCTTCGCGTTGTGGACGGAGCCGCAGAAAAGGGCTATCTCTCCATTCCCCCTGTAGAGGACCTGGTCGTCGCACATTTATGTCCGCCTTCCACGAGATGGCGCTCATCACCTGTGCTTCCCTCTAAAGCCTGCAGAGCGACTTCGAGCTTTCACGCCCGCACTTACTCAGCCGCCGGCCAAGCAGCCTCTGCACTCCATTCCATGTCCGTCCTTCAGATTCTACAGGGCGATATACTTGGTGAATGGGACGAGAGCGGAAAAAATCCCCCCTTAGTCGCGGATTTAAGGAGCGCCACGGACATTGCTCTTCGCGCTACAAAATCTGCTGCTCAAGCCCTGGGGAAATGCATGGCCGCCATTTGTGTGTCTGAAAGACATTTGTGGCTCACACTCGCCGACATGGGAGATTCTGAGCGCGCCGCTTTTCTCAACGCCCCGCTCTCTCCATCGCCTCTTCGGATCTGCTGTCACGGGTATCGTTGACCGTTTCTCCGAAGTGCAGAAAGCCTCCCAGGCCATGAATCTATTTCTGCCTCGTCGCGCTAGCTCCTCTGCAGGCCGCTCACGTGACCAGCCTCCTGCACGAGCCCCACCCCAGCGCCCAGCTCAGCACAGTCAGACTTCTCAGCGACGCCAGGGCGGCCGCCCTCGTTCTCGCTCTGACAGCCGCCACAGACCGCCGCCTCCCCGGGGGCCTCGGCATAGGATCACGCTGAAACCTGATCACTCGAAGTCTGCCTAGCACAGCTGAGAAAAAAACGGCGCTCTGCCGCCGCGGCCGGACCGCTGTCAAAGTTTCGCCCTCTGTTAGTCCCCGCTCACGCGGCTACTACAGCAGTGTACCCCGCCATTACCAAGCCGGTTCCCCTTCCCGCTTGCATGAGCACAAACGCCGTTTTCACGGCGACTCAGAGAAATCTCAAAAAGAGCATAAAAGCCTCCTGTGTAGAAAATGTGCCCACAACACTGTGTTCACTCATACACAAAAGCATTTCAGTTCCCGTGTTTCTCACAGAGCTCACTCTCATAAAGCGGTTCCAACCCGCTCGAGTTTCAGAGTGTATAAGCGCGCCCACGAGCCTGTGTGCGCGTCCCACCTCTGCTCACTCTGTTACACGGCCCTTAAACTCCTCTCTGAGTGTAAGTCCCGCTGTCATAAACACTATGAGCGCACCCGCGCAGCCCGCTATGTGCAGCAACGGGGATCAGGTAGCCATTCACCCCTTAGCGTTACGCTTAAAAGCGTGGGAAGCTATTCCGGGAATTTCCCAGTGGGTGCTAAACACAATAAGGCTAGGCTATCGCTTGCAGTTTCACCGCCGCCCTCCACGTTTTTGAGCG